GCAGAGTCATATCTGGTGTCAGTCAGCCCCTCCTTCACAGCACTGTCTCAACGTGTCCTGCAATAATTAACCAGCTGCTACGCACTGTGCTATACAAGTGCACGCCTCTTACCACATGCACTGTACTTTGAACCTACAAATACGCACGCACAAACATGCACGCACACACATAAGGTACGAGCTCTCAAGCATGGAGTGAACCAGCTTCATTTGTTAGGAGACTGAACGACTAGCTAGCCAGGTAGGACTCAGTATATTTTTGATCATTTCTTTTTATACCTCTAGCGTGTTAAAGCGTGCTACTGATCTGAAACTAAAAGGACAGCCACTGTTGTTTTTACTTTAAGCACTGAACAATGTCGGATTGGTATTCTTTATATCATAGAAACAACATAAACAAGGTACCTAGCAACTTCTGCTTTCTTTGTCAGCTACATGAGTATCAGTGTCACAACATGCAGCTGAAGTTGCTCAGGGTTTGAAATCAATAAATTGAAATCAGTAGAATAATAGAGTCTGTAATTATGAGTCTATAAAAAACAAACAGAAAGGCAGAATTTCAAAAGGGCACTATAATAAAATTACATAATTAGGTCATATCTGTACATATGCAATAAAGAGCACATGTCAGACAGACAGAAAAGGAGTAAGGGAGAGTGAGAAGAGGCGTGAAATACAGGAAGGCAGGGAAGGGAGAAACTGGGTGTGTCATTGTGTGCCTCAGCTTTTTCCCGCTGGCTACGTTTTTTTCCAGCCCACAACTGACAACACAAAGTTTGTATTCTACATGTAATACCTGGACCCTCTGCTACCATATTTGTGGTCTTGCTGTTTTGATGAATTTTACTGTAGAGTCTCTCTGAATGTTGCATTTTAATCTTACAGGCTTTCAATGGCCGTTATCTTCATCACAATTTTATCCACAGTTCGCCTTCTTTTGATCCTCTACATTTAGAACCACAGGTGGTAAATATTCGAGAACGGCAAAGCTGTCTCTTATAGTTTTCATCCAACAAACAAATTGGTTCTCTGCTAAGACTCACATCATGACCAAGACCTTTGGTCTTATTCATCACTGCACAGTTTTAACTATTGATTATTTTTCACTTTGATTTGTTTTCCCACTAGTTATCACTGTCACAAGAAAACTTTAAACTTATGTGACAATGTTTCACTTTAAATGAAGATTCTGCTGTGGCAAGTGGAACATGAGTGAAGTCATTCTTACTGTACTGTGATGTTCTTTGGTTGCTGATACTCTTGCTTTGTGGGATCCTCTGGCCTTCAGGCTGAGAACAACCTGCCTTTAACTTAAGGCTCGGTTTGGGAATGTTTCTCTGTGTAATAAAAATCACCTGCCAAATTTGGCCAAGGTTACCAGTAAGATTATACAGTACAAGTGTAACAATTGTCAATGGCAGCAATATATGACATGCAAGGTTTGAACAAAGCTCAATGTATCTTGTATAGCCACGATCACCCCTTGCTGAACAAATTTGTCCTGTTGTCCATGGGAAAGAGAAACAGCATCCCTAGGATAAGGTATAACAGGTACAGATTTTTCATTGTTTCGAGGGCAGTAGAGGCCCTCAGAAAGTAATATTTTGTCCTAAGAATATAGATGATTTCTTATAGTGAATGATTATATTGATAGATTGTATGAGTGCAGGACAAGAAACAGATGGTTTCTGGTAGTCTACAATATCCCCATAATATTTAACACTGTTTTGTCAATGGTTTTTTGTCTGTTTTTATTGTTTATATTGCACATTTTATTATATTTGTTAATGCTGCTGCAAATCAAATTTCTCCATGTAGGATAACAATGATTGATTGATTGACTGACTGATTGATTAGGCTGCGACCAGGCAATTCACACTGTGAAACTGACTAGTGACTTTGCACTGTCGACCATTTATCAGATGTTCTCCTTTGCTCATGAAATGGTAGCTCCCTGGGCACAGATGTGTAAAAGGCACCCACCCCTGCTACAATTGAGCGCCAGACCAAAAGTGATCCAAAATTATTACAAACAACAAAGCAGAGGCCATTTATTTTTTCCCTGTTTGTAGGGATTTTGTGTCTTCTTTATTCATTTTGTGCATTTGTTAGTATTCAGTCTGAAAGTCTGTGTAGTGTTTTTGTGCCCCTTTGTATTTGCTTTAGGTCTTTGTTTTCATTTTGTGTCTTGGCAATTGATCTTTGTTGTCTTTTGTGCATTTCTGTAGTCGTTTTTTGTTTATTTGTGGTTATGTTTTCTTTCCAAGTCATTTGACTGACTTCCCAACAATACCAACATTAAATGTTAACAGTCACTTCAAACAGAGGCTTTGTCCCACAGGTCCCTTAAATTGTTGGGCCTTTGAGCTTGTGCCTCAGTAATCCATCTATGCCATTTGTACTGGCTTTGCTTTGACTTTTGAGCTGCCTGTGGTTTATAAATCACCCACATTCACATGTATACACACACACACACACACACACACAAGTGTGATGTATTTGCTTCAGGGGACCTTAAAGTCTACATGTTGAGGTTTGAAAAACACACAGTGAAGGGCTCACATCAGTTCAAGTTTGACAAGACAAGAGACGTGAATCCTCATGCCCATGGTGTGCCAAACACAGCACATGAATATCCATATTTATTTTTAAATGAGTAGCCTTTTGTACACTGTATCTGCACCTCTCCAGCAATACTCCTTGCATATGTCACTGTGTACAACCAGGATTTGCAAACACAAGTGAGCAGCTTCAAAGCAATAGTTTGCAAATGAGTTTTGTGGTTTGGTGTATACTGCTGCAGTTCAGGTGCACCCCAGTATCTGTTGGACAGTACACGTGGAATATAGTATAGATCAAAACAGCCTTAGTTTTAGATTAAGTTCAGATGTGGGATTTCCTACATTTTTCTATAAACACTGCTTGGAAAGTTACATGCTGTATCTTTAAATTTTGCTGCTGCTGGTGTTAAATTCTGCACAAGAGTGAACTGTCAGTCAGAACGAGGTGTGGTGGGGCTGCTGGGATGACAGCTGCTGAATACCTGAGATATTTCTTACAAGCAAACAGGATGGGGCAGAGATAGATTGAAAGAGCGAAAGAAAGGGCCAAATAAGACAGGCTGGTGCTTTCAGATTGTTGTGTTATCCATGGCAGACGAACAGAAGAAAAGCAACAAAAAAAAAAGAAAAGCGGGTTAAAAAAAGAGAGAGAAGCCACATGGATATTCCAAGAGTGTCTGTTCATAGGCACAGGGTTCAGTGTTTATGACCAGAACATAAACAACAGTTGGGTCTACACTGTCATCACTGGTTACTGGGTGGAGTACTGTTATTAAATCTCTTGGAGGCAAGCATGAAAGAAGAAAGTGAAAGAGTAAGGGCATGCTAGAGAAAGAAAGAGAAATAAAAATAGCAGAAAATTCAGTGAGCGAGACTGAAAGGAGATATTTAAAGCACAGAAGGAAGAAAGAGACAGAGACAAAGATACAGAGTCAAGCAGAGAGCTCTGCTTTGTCATGTTAGAGAAGGTAAGACTCTAATTTCATTGTTTATTGTTGGAAAAACTGACGTCGTGTTGATTGTTCAAGTTCATTTCATTTCCAGTGGCATTCTTTTCTTGTAGTTGACGTAATGCTAATCCGGTGTCTATCTAGAGGCATGTACAATAATAACATGTGAATGCTGCAGAACAAGTCAGCAGCCTGATACTGTGGTCTGAGGCTCATTACTTTCGCATGATTACAGTATATCTGCTTTATTAATTTGGTTTTCTGTTTGCGGTAGCAGAGATGACTGAAGCAGCTCTGAGCCCAGTGATCCAGACAGGAGACGGGAGGAAACTGTCCCGGTGGGTCATTTCATATGCGTTTAAGAGTTTGTGCCTTTTGCTTAAAAGTACTCATGATACAGTCAATATTAATTGTGGAACAAAAGTTTCAAAATACTCCATTATATATTAATGTCCTTCATTCAAAATCAAAAGTAAAAGTATTTGCTCAGCAGAAAAATTGCCCCAGGGGCTGACAAACTGACAAACTGTATTACTGGTAGAGCTAGTTCAGACTACTTTATAAGGGGTTTAGTCCCGCAATAGTCATTGTAAAATATTGGACAATTTTACCTTGATGGGACCATAAATGTTATGTAATTTTCGAGGTTTAATCTTCAGTGTTGTACAGTATTTTATAAGCTTCTGTTTTATGTAAATTATTAAGCTCAGTGAGAAGCAAATAGCTGCATGTTTATATGCCTTGTTTTCCACTGAAGCTGTCCCAAACTGGTTATTTCTCTTGCAGAAAAACATAAGCTACATTTTGTTACTTTAACTGAGCTCTTGTAATTACAAATTAGCTATACCCATGTGGGGTGTTGCTCTGTGCTGTGTAATGCTGTGCAGCATCTTAGTCATTCATTGCTGTTGTGTTCATTCTAGAACAGCATTTCTTTCATTGATGAATACCTACAACTGCTTCCTAAAGGATCAGACCCAGCTGCACCTCAGTTATTCTGTGGTATTTATATTTATCTTTTTAATAATACTTCAAGTGTTTCTTTTTATTTATTTGTGTTGCTATAATTTTAGATATTTGTCATAATTTTGCAGCAAATTATATCTATGTAACTGGCATTACAGTAGTAACTCAACAGGCCTTTATCCTAGTATATTCTGAAAATGTACTTGGATGGACTTATACAGTACTTCCATCTATGGCATCATATTATTTGTTATTACACAATGAGATGAAACCCTCCTGGTATTCTTATGGGACTGTTGTAGCCGGTACTTTTTACCATACTGACTCTGAGAGACGAGACAGTCCAAGTAACTACAAAACAGTGCTGATTTATTCCATGAACACAGGTAAAAATTAACATTACACGCTCAGACATCTTGCACCTCCACCTTGCACGCAGGCAGATGTAAGATGAAAGACCCTGAACCCACCAGGCCTATACATTATATCCCCTTCATCAACTTTTCTCTCTAGTTATCCTTGACCAGATGTACCCTGTAGAAACTCATAAGCATGACTAAGCATTTAACAGTCTAACTAGACATCCCATCTCCACTAAACATTTCTAATACATAAAGTACCTATCCAATTTCTATCTGACTAAAAATACCTAACAGGGACCTACAGTATATCTGTACTGTAAGTATCAAGTGTGTCTGTCTCTGTAACAGGGGGTGGATGGAGAGGTGGCAGTGGAAGGCTTCCTGAATATCTCCTGGGGAGTACAGAGACTTATCAGGCTGAAAATACAAGATGACAGACAAATGCTTCCCTTCATTCCCCAGAGCTCACCTGACCCCACCAGTCCTGTCAGCCCAATAGGAAACAAGAGGTTGAGGTTCAGCTTTTTGAGTAATACAACAAAATCTCAACACAGAGCAAAATGTGAAGAATGTTGGATTCTTGGCACTTATAGTCTCACATGTTTCTGGTTTTATCATTTCACCATTTACTGTCAGCCAATCCTGAGTACTGAATGAAAGGTGTAAGAAATAGAGGGACCTGAGTAACAAATACCTCTGAAGTATTAATCTTTTCTCTTAGTGTTAACTGGGCACTATTTTGTGATAAACCATATTTAGATTTTGTGAGATTTCTTCTATTTCTTGTCGATGGAGCTGTCACTACATGACACTACATGACACTGTCTGTGGTTTATATATGAAATATGCCATATACCACTACTGGTGCTGAAATTTTAAATGCATCTTTGCATCTGTTTTTTATATAGTTTTAATGTGTTTGTATGTATTTTTCTTGTAAACTGAACTACTGGCATTAAGTGCAAGCTACAGATGGTGTTTGAGTAACCAATTTATTTTTGGGTGCAGGTCAGATCAGCAGTTTTCATTGTCCCAGGTGCAGATAATGTGCTCGAAAGATTGCAATGGCTTTTGTATTTGTTAACTTTACAGGCTATTATTATTCATGTTCCTACTCACGCAGAACTCAGATATAAGCTTCAGGATTTATGAGAGCGACATAATTTGTAAAGAAAAGTTAACACCTCAGAGGAATCATACTGCTATTTGAATGGCCTTTAACTGAGTATCTTCATGTTTCCGCTGCAACTTATAGTTTCAAGTGCATTTCTTTTTCATGCAATATACAGTACTATGAGCTTTGAAGTAGCCTTATACATGCACTTCTATTAGAAATGAATATGAAGCTTGCATATAACTGAGGAAAATAACATGGAGAGATTAGTATGTACAATAAAAACTGTTTAATGTTAATTCACACATGTTGAGACAATTTCCTTACTGCCTCTGCAGGGGAATGACACGATGGGGAGAATATGTTGACCTTCACCAGATACTAGATGAAATGCTTGAGACAGCACAGGACACAGAAGTCAATAATCCAGGTTGTTTTTATTTTTCCTACTATTGTTCCATGATGTCATTACATTTCCATGATGACTGTTTCTGCACACTCCAAAGGCCCAGCTGTTTATGAGACCACCACACTGCGTCCTGTGAGGCAGAAGAGCCTGGAGCTGCAGGCCGAGTCAAACCTGTTTCGCTGTATGAGCGACGCCTCATTGATCAAGAGGAGGAGGGAAAGGGGCAAATCGGTGGCACAAAGAGAAAAAGAAAGGCAACATCGCTTTTCTATCAATGGACACTTTTACAACTATAAGGTAGGCTTCTGCTCAGCACCTTCCCACATATTATCTTTTATCCTCACCTCTCCTTTATTATTCTCTCCCTGTCAGGCATTAAACCGTCCCTACTTTTCCATATACAGTGATCCATACATCTCTCTTTTTGCCCCTCATATAATCTGTATTGTAGTTTACCAGTCTCATATTGTTTTCTGCAGACCTCTATCTTCACTCCGTCCTTTGGTACTCCAACTAAAGTACGTATCTCCAGCAAGATGACCACAAACGAGGTCATTGAACAGCTACTACACAAATTCAAGGTTTGTAGACATTCTTTAATCTGTAGGAGAATTCACAGTGATGAATACAAAGGCTCAAGTATCATTCACAGTGACAAAATAATTTTACTCAAAAATCACTGTATGACACATTGCATCTATTTAGGTCGACTTTAAATTGACTCTTATAAACTTTCTCATAACCTGACATCCACAGGGTTGAACCCTGTTTGTGAAGTGTAATGATCACACACTATACTGAGGTTTTACAATAGATGTTTCCTGTATATTCATCACCACAGATAGAAAACGATCCCCAGGAGTTTGCGCTGTACTGTGTTCACCAGAGTGGAGGTATGGTTTTCCTGTGTCCAGAGTTACACAGAAAATAAAAGGTAACATGAGACAACAAGTTGCAACACAATGTGCATGTGTTTTATCCAGAAAAGAGGAAGCTGAGTAACAAAGACAGGCCCCTATGGGAGCGCATACTGCAGGGGCCCTCTGATGACATCATGAAGATCTTTCTAATGGATGCAGATGAAGAGGAAGTCAGCAATGATGTGAGCGCACTAGTGCCACTCACAAGGGGTTAACATTTAAAAAAAAAGAACCATGACAGTTTCATAAAAATACATATGTAGTTAAAGACAATGACTTCCAACAGGTTGATGCAGCTTCATTTAAGTTTATAGAAGAATTCTTTGTGTAAAATATTGGTGTCAGTCCCTCAGAATCAAACACCAGTTCATTTGCTCTTGTGTCATTGATGTTACAGTCATATCTGTAACATATCTATAAAAGCAGAAAAATAAAAGTCCATCTCTAATTTTGTGGCCATGAAAATGTCAAGTAGTTTCACATACATACAGTAATTACAGAGACTTCTACTTGAAAAACCTATGCTTCTTGATAGATCTAGACTGAAGATGAAGGCCTGTTTTACCTGTAATTAAGCACGAGCGATATAAAACTAACAGTATGTAAGCCCTTAAAGTGTAAAATTATATATAGTGTCAAGGAATATATTAAAAGCAGCAAACAAACCAACTTGATAGTTATACTGTATGTTTCTCTATTTTTGTTTACATATGCAATAGAGACATATTTACATTTTTATTATGCAAAATCAGTTTACAAATAATATATTTATAATACAGTGTTGGAGCAGAGATACTTTTTCTGCCTGCTATTTTGGACAAGTGTTATCTGTTTCTTAATTCCCAAGAATCTGTTCCACAATATATATTAACCTGTTAAAATTTTTAATACGTTTTGTGTCTTCTTTCTATCAGGTAGCCCAGTATCTAAACTTGGAGCTTCCGTTCCTGGAGCATATTCTACTGAAACTCAGAGAGGAGGAGAAAAGAGAGATACAGAATGTCATGAACAAGTACGTACAGCATATGATTTTATTCCCTTAAATGTTTAAATGATGGCAGTAGTTTCACATTTTAAAGAAGTGACATCTACAGAGAAATGTTAAAGTGTATAAAACAGCTCACTGCCTTCTTTTTCATAAATTCATTTTTATACTTGCTTGTCTAACATGTACATGGACTAGTTTCATTTTCAAGTGTGTGTAGTAACACTTCCAGACCAGTGGATGGCACCAATAATTCAGATTAACCTTTTGTTTCACCGCTGGTTCATGGTCTCTGTGTCTGTTTTTCTGTCAGGTACCACCACCAACATAGACTCTTATCCCATATACTGAAATGTAAGATATCACCTCACATTGAGACCAGTGTCTGACGACTACTGATCTGAATCACTGACACAAGACCAGTCAGTCAGCGCCACTTAAAGGATAAAAGATCAGTGGTAAGGAGCCTTGGAGAACTCTGCACAACATCTTTAACAAAAAAAAAAAACTAACAGCATACATTAACAAGTCTTACATTAAAAATTCAATTCTTCAGTTTTTTATATTTAGTTTGAAACTGTAAAATAAGTGAAAGATAAACTGTTATGATGCTTTTGTAAATATTTGTAAAGGTGCATTATGTGTTGATGAATAAATATAAGCTGCAGGACCAGAAGGGTCACGTCTGTGTTGTGCTTTCTGTCCGTGGAGGCTGGAGTGTGTTGCTGGAATTTTGATGTAAGATGCTATCGATTATGACTATGGCATTTATTTTATTTAAATTGTTTGGAGTGTGATGTCACAGAGTCACCTTGACTCATACAATTTTTACTCTGTTTACTTCAAGGGTCATGTGAAAATAAGTCTTTGTTAAAGGGGAACTTCACTGATTTTACACATTAAATACCAGGAGTATAAAAGACTATATTTCAGGATTTGTTGCATATTTAGTATTGATATTAGGCAATGTATGTAATTTTACCTATACTGTTTGCAAAGGAAGCTGATTTGAATCATATTCATATTTATTTATTTATCACATTGATTGTAAATGTGTCAAATTTTATCAAACAGATTCATTTTCATCTGTAGTCCCTGGGAAGTTGATGTTAAAATACACAAAAACAACATCATAACTAAACTAAAAAGTTTAACTATTGGTCTTTATCAACTTATTTTGATCCAAAGATGCCAAATTGTCCGACTGGACTTTGGAAAAATAACATCTAAAGTTATTCCAATGACATCTTGACTACTCCCCCAGAGCAGCCATAAAAACATTGACTCTGCTTACATGTGGAAAACAGCCACGTCATCCCAGTCATGTCAGTCCCAATGGCACAGTGTGGAGCAGTGCTGCTTGGGCAGTTTAGTGGCAAAGACTAAACTCACTTGCCAGCCCACGAGAAAGTCTTGTATTTCCCAGCACCAAGTTTAATTTTCCTCTGACAGGATGAATGACTAAATGAGAATAAATTGGTTGTTTCATTGAAGGACAGTTTCCATGTGATGTTGACCAGGAGCTGAAACCACCAGACTATGGTGTTTAGAAGAGAAAGCATAGGACTTATTATAGAGGATTTAAAGATTTTAATTTTGAGAATATGTTTGTGCTTCAAAGGACTCAGTGAGTCATTTCTGATCATTGCTTTTACACTATTTACAAAGAGTGTGTATCTAGCCACAGGGGGTTTTCACGCCAGTGACTTCTGTGCCAGTCCCAAGCTTGTCTAAATAGAGAGGGTTACGTCAGGAAGGGCATCCGGCGTAAAAATGCTGTAGCATTCTTTATTGTGATTAGTTAGTTAATGCTAACATCTCTTAAGTTAGCTAAAGTCAGGTTTTTAAAAATTTTAAGCAATGGTGTCAAGCACTGTCTTTGAACAGATGGTGTATAAAGCTATAAAATAATAAAAATGACATTAAATAAATGAGTGAAAAACATAACGTGTACAATACACCACAGCTCCAAGCCATACAAATGATCTCCACACCAGCACAACAACAACAATACAAAAAAGTCAACCTTAAGGAGTTAAACTTTCTCCTCAAATTTCCAGCACTTTTGTGTGTCCAGGTGATGAGTTTGGTTGCGGAGCTCTAGAGCCACCTTAAACTGGCACTTCAGATTCTGTGGATTGGGAAACAACAATAATTGTTACATAGGAACTGGGAAATCTCAAATATCTCAACATAAAAGGTAATGGGGTCATTGTCATGAGAAATGGAGCTAATGCTGGAGATTGAAAACAATGTGTTAAAAATGCTGCTGAGTTAAATATAGGTTTATAAGCACATACAAATACACACACAAAACAAATTTACCCTTTTCCCAAGACTGCAGCTTTTCAAATCATGGTTTTCAGACTTGAGACACTTGGTTTTACCCAGGACTGCATCAATCTTATAGTTGATCACGTTGGTCACCTGTGGAGTTGATCAGACATAGGATTAAAAGTTGTAAGTTAGCATTACAATTAGTGGTGGTGAAATGGTGCATTGGATTGGAATTTGTTTCTGAAGGGTGGATCTAACCTGATTGTGAGCAGCAGTGATGTTAAGCAGTTTGAACAATCTCTTGCTCTTGCACTTATTGTTGAACATTGTCACGGCATATTGAGCTGCTTCCTGAACGTCAGCTGAATCTGGATTCATCTCATTCCAGCCACCCAAGAGAGGAAGTCTCTCCTCTAGGAGGAAATTAAACACATATAATTGCATGAGAGCTATCTGTATGATGGCTATAAATAAGTAACATACTGTATACTGTATTCTCTAAAGTGGCACAGCACACATTCATACACAGGCAGTGCTGATATACTGTATATTAATGAATTTGTGCAATTAGAAGCACACCCATACACAAATCATACACTGACTCCAGATGCACATCAGATGCACACAAGTAGTCAGCAGTTAAGTGTTATGATTTTGTGCTTTTGCTTTAGAGGTTTTTATGCTCCTTCATTCTGAATATGTGCTGTTTCAGGCCAGAATATCAGTGAGTACCTTGAAGCTCCGAGACCACTGAACCCCGGATTCAGCTAATTTTACACTGCCAAACCATCCTTACTCCTCTGCCAAAACAAGCCTCATCAGGCTAAGGATATAAAGCAGATTTTCTCAAGGAAATAAAAGCCAGTTTTAAAGATAATATTTGTACTGTAGCTTTTGTAGCTTGGGTGGCTGAATAACTCAAATTGATAGTGGTTTTGTTTTTATACCAAAACAGTTTGTGAGCTGCATGGTTCTGGGGAACTGCAAAGTCATTCTGTCAGTCCTACATACAGCCAGTTGAATGGTCTACCTTTTACCAGACTGAAATACCTTAACTCTTGAATGGATTGCTGTGAAATTTTGTACAGACATTCATGTTCCCCAGAGGATGGAGCCTACTGACCATGGTCAGCCCAAAAAATTTCCTTTAAGGCTACCATGAATATTGAACACACATTGCCTCTCTCAGGATGAATATTTATTCTTTTTATTTTGTAATGGCATCAGTTCAAACATTTAATTTCTTAAATGTTTTGTTTAAATCCATTTAAAATAAATGACATTTTCATCAGTCTCAACTGTGCTTCACATTTAGTGCTAATTAACAAATTCTAGTATACTAAACTAAGATGGTGAACATTATACCCAAAAACGATATGTAAATGGAAAGATCAACAGAATTATGAAATGGAAAAAAAAAGTAAATTAGGTTTGTCAAAATTTAGTGACACACCTTTGGGGTGTATATTGTACAGTTATCTCTAGACTTTTCAAATGATTTAAGTTCAACCAAAATATGTACTGTCAAACCAAATTTGGACCTTCAGTATGTGAAATATGACAAAGAAACCACTGAGACTGTGAATCTTTTAGTTGCTGTTGCACTTTTTAATAAACAAACAATAAACATGCATTGTTTATTCTATTGAGCATTAACATTATGTTCTATAAACCAACCAGAATGTTTCTCCTTTCAGCAAAACTGTTCCACTAACAGAAGCCACTGCTGTTGGGCAACTTTATTAAATGGGTTCTGAATGATCCTGATGGATTATTTTTCGCTCCCACACACTCCAAAAACAATTCCACTCTGCCAACAACGCCCTCTCTGCCTGCTAGCTACGCCAAATTTTCTGACTCACTGTATCCAACCAGACTTAAATGTGAAGTCACCATCTACGATAAAAAAACACACAACTTATTGTAGATTGTGTCACACAGACACAGCCTTTCAGAGAGAAGTTTAAATATCCTCATTTTTTTATTGTTTAAAACAATATAAAGTTGAATCATTGAATTAACTTTATTACTGCAAACTACAACAAAATACTACAAACTTACATGACATCACAAAGTAAATATTTCCCAGATGGTTTTGTTGGATGCTGATTGTGAAGTTATTACTGCACCTGAAATATTCAGTGTTCATGATGAGTGCTGCCATTTTGTGAACCCAGTCTTTTACCACCAGATAGATCTAATACTTAGCAGCATGTTGGTCCCAGTCATTCCAAGTGACCAGTCTACAGATCTGTCATCCCTGTTGGTTCCTGTATTTCACTAGTTCAGTCGTATGTGTAGTTACTCCTTTGGTTATCATAGACTCACCTGTTATCCATGCATTTCATGAGTTCTTGAGATCTTGATCTAATCTGCAAATTCTGTCTGGTCTGCATCTGTTTTCTCATTTCACTTTTCATGACAGTAAGCACTTCTCTGAACTTTATTTTTTAAGGACTGGCCCCACAACAGCATTATATAATAAGCACAAAACAGTTAAATTATACCAAGATAAGATGATAAAATGGTATTGTTCTTATAGCATTTTATCTTTAAACAAGGTTGCTCATATAAGTTATAATCAGAAGAATATAGGTTTGAATCATCAGTTCAGTCTATAAAAGGTTGATATGAAGAGTTGTGAAGCTTTATTCTTTCAGTGTTCAAAACTGATTTAGAAATACATCTTAAAATATCTAATACATTTTATGTGCCGTCTCATTAAATTAAACATGTATCGATACTCTGTTTGTAGCTTTTGTGTTGAGTCTGTTTTTTGTTGTTTCATGTAAAGACATTTAAAGGATTTTATCATTTTTTGAAATTAATATCAAGTCACACAGTCTGTTCTTTTTCTGTCTTATAATCTGTCTTGCTTGCCTTTCCATATAACTAGAGGCTCATATTTCTTGTCCATATTGCTACTTACTTTTTATGATGACTTCCTCCACAGGCTGGTCGCCCATGCACAAATGGACAACTGAAAGACATAACAGCAGTAACAGCTGGAGAGACATCTTTACTTGCTGACAGCCACCAAATTGTACTTTGCTCTTCTCAGGGGAAAGACTGGTGGAAGAAGAATCTCCAGAGAGAGATGTCAGATTAACTTGTGCTGAGCCAAATGCCAATCAACTTGCAGACGTCCTGTACCATCAGGTCCACAGAGACAAGAAAACAAACAAGGAGAGACACTGAAGAAAGTTGTTGAAAACTTAAAATAGTTGTCTGAATGTACAAAAATGACAGTTATAGATAGAGCTACCAAGAGAAAAACAACATCATAGCTATCCGCCTTGCTGATATTTAAAAGCAGGACCTCACCTAATGAAAGCTGCAATGACAGTGAGCCAAATGAAGGGCAATACTGTGAGTGAGAAAAAGAGAAAGAGGCAGGGAGTGACTGGGTGTTGTTAGCATTTCATCTCTGGTATGTTTAACAAACCAGTGAAGACCACACCCACACACTCACTGGCAATGACGCAATTGAACAACCATCCCACAGCTTTGGTTGGAGTCTATGACTGAGAGTGTGTGTGAGAGAGAAAGGCTGAGTAGGCAGGAGAGGTGGTGTGGATGGGTGTCAGATGTGTGCTATTTTGTGCTAGCTAGTGTTCCTGTGCTCTTTGTGTGCTTTCATTCATGTGTGTTAAGTGGGTGTGTAGCCTGCCAGTGTTTATTTTTTTGTGGATGTGTACATGTAGCCTACATTTTCTCGGTTTCTGTGAGGGCACTTTTTTGGAGCAAGCAGCATCTATTGCCAGGCAGTGAGTCACACTACCAACTAAAGTACACAGCAGAACCACAATAATCCATCTCCAGTGTGCATCAACATCCTGTCCAGAGCATTTGTTATCATGTTATAAAGCCTTAAACTGTTCTAGTAGCACAAACACAAATGCAAAAACAAGTGGAACTGAGTACAATTGATGAACTGGGTGTTCTCAGAGTTGGCCTTGCAGGATATGGTTCTTATTACCATTGCTAACTCTGAGAGACGAGACAGTCAAAGTAACTTCAAAACAGTGCTGATTTATTCAAAGGATCACAGGTAAAATTAACATTACACGCTCAGGTATCTTGCAGCTCGATCCTGCACGCAGGAAGATGTAAGATGAAAGACCCTGAACCCACCAGGCCTATACATTATATCCCCTCGGTTGGGCTAGCCCCATACTACACAGAAACGTCAACCGAGACGTCTCTGTTGCCAGCTTTGCAGCTGGCCATAGCAGTAGTCAAAACATGAAGCAAATCAATGTGTGTGTCTGTTGATTAAGTGGTGTGTAACTAAAAACATTTTCACGACCTCTAGTACATGTCGTGACTTAAACATAAGAACATATTATGGCTAAGGCTACAGTTATACACGTCATAATAATAATATTAAACACCCTGTCTGCTGACAGTCATCAACTCTTCTCTCTAGTTATCCTTGACCAGATGTACCCTGTAGAAACTCACCATCATAAAGGTGCGGCTGATTGACTAGGGCGCAGAAGAGCTCCACAGCAAGCTGACAGGCACAGTCCTGACATTTTATTATTTAATTTTTTATGGCTAGTGTGTTGGCAAATATTTCTTTATTTGCAGAGCAGTAAACAAAATTATATTTATTGTAGATATGTGTTTTTATGTAAGTCCAATATTTTAGTGTTTAATTTTGGATCTCTACTAAATGCTGTGAAAAATATTTGCCATTTTAGTTGCTATGTGTTGCAGTGTCTTCACCAATTTTTATATACATACACCTCAGATATACATTATACTACCCTCATCTATTTGTGGCTTTTGGTGATCCCTGATTTGTTTATCTTGCGCCACCAGCAGCTTAAAATTTTTACTCATGAAAAATAAAATACAGTTGTAGTCATGTCTGCACGCCTCACTTGATAATGGATTCTCCTCACACGACCAAACTCTGGACCACCATCTCAATGCTGTCTGCTCTGGAGGATGTAGTAATGACACAGCTAATACATTCTATTCTTGGATCAACAATAATGTTTTATAAGCTATATTTTCTAAATTGGAAATTGTCTTAACATGATTTCTCTGAATTTTCCTGATTTTTTTATGTGGTAACACAGGTTAACAGAGCCTTGTGAATAAAAGCCTGTTAATAAAAGCAGTTTTGAATATGAACAAGTAAACGTCAATAAATAAGTTGATATGAATAAATATGTATTTAAAAAATGTAAATGTATTGGGTTCTATTGTAATTTATGTTTTGAAATAGATGATCTGTCATCTAGATTTTTATTTTGACGAGGCACGCTCTGCTTGAGCCATGTGACTGGTAACAGCCAACGGTATTGCTGTGTTTTTTTTTTTGGTTCAAGACCAGTGAGATACAAGTTCAGTGTGTGTAGAGCTGTAGAGCTAAGAAAAGAAAACGGGTCTGGAAGTTGTCTCAATGCTATTTTTTTACGTCCTGGAAAGGGTATTTTTGTGTTCCAACCTGTCCCTGTTACAAAGACTTTTTGCACATCTCTGAACAGGACTTGGTGAGTGAAGGAAATGCATTTTATTTCTTCTGCAAGTAATATTATTGTGACATGTTATTGTTTTCATGGAAGTGGAAAGTTAAGATGGGGAATTTACGTTCTATGTTAAAATTGTGAATTATTACGGTGCATTTTGAGCCTAATTAAGGTACTTGCACAGTCAATGTCCTGACATGTGTTTCCGCCGCCATTACGGTGACGACGCCCTCTCAGTGAGCACCAATTAAGACCGGAAATGGTCTTTTAACTTTTAAGTTACCCAGAGTTTTATTTTGAGTATTTATGCTGGTTTTATGTTGTTTATGGTAGGCCATTAAGATTGGGTCGAAGAAATCTGAGCTAGAACTAGAGTTCAATGACACGTGTGTGAACCAAGATGGAGAGCCTCTCACGGACCTTGTGAATTGTGCATAAGCCAGAAGCAAACCGCTCTCTGCTGGACATTGCATGGGATTTCATCTGAATTGGTAGGATTTACCCACATTTTCTGCAGGACAGCAGTAATAAATTCAGGAATTTCTAATTCAGGACAATTGAAGGGTTAACAAATAGGAACAAAAGGACAATTTAACTGTGGTATAGAGCTGTTCAGTCTTTTGCTGAATTATTTTGAGTTATACATTTTGTACACCCTTTATTTTTGATAAGAATGTAACTGATGTTGTAAATAGGTATTATTTACAATGAAATGTTACTTGTTTGGTTATAAACAGAACAACGAATGGTTAAGACTTACAGGTCAACTTAAACCTTGAATAGAACTAGACTGGGCCCAGAGTTAACTCAAATGGAATCCAGAACAATCTTCAACTAAACATTAACTTAAACACCGGGTTGCAACCTATAGAAATAATAAAGAAAAACTTAGAACTGAAATCCTTAAATCTAAGAAAAGGTTTAAAACAAAAAAGGATTTATTCTTTACCACTTCTGGGAAAGGTTATCATCTTTTTATCTTCCAAGTTGGTACAAGTAACCTTATCCCCTCTTTAATGTTATTGTATGTCAATGTCTTTTTCTGTTTAATTGTAAATACCAAGCCGGCTACTTTTAATTGTATGTCTGGGTCTGTGGTCATTATTTAACTCATTTGCTTTCTCAAAAGCCTAACTGCTCCAGTAGTCGAACCTAGCCCACTTAACTAGTCCAGATAGTAGTTTTTCACCCTGTACACACCCTTGTGAGTGGTACAGAAGTGGCAAGCCAGCCAGGAGCTGTTTTGAGGCTTCTAGCAAGTCCTGAGTTGAACCCTAAAACCTACTTTTGACCCAGACCCTAAAATAGGTCAAGTCCGGAAAAATTGACATTGTCAACACAGAGAACATTAAAATCCCAAACTCAGTTATCAGTGGGCTCACAAACACCAGCCAAAATGAAGATTTAACTGACTTCTTGAACAAGTATGGGCGTATATCAAGAACCCTGAAGAGTGATGATCCACAGTCTCCTCACCACAACAATGCAATTGTGGACTATGAAAGTGGAGCTGCTTTGGCAGCACTTGAACCTTTCCTGATCTACGCTCTTGAAAGTCCACATGGAACCCCTTAACAAATCAGAACCTTGTCAACTGAGTATATGGCAACAGTTACTAAAAATGCCACCTACAGTTTCTTCAATGAACTGCAGAAAATAGCAGAACTGAACAAACACCTCTCTAAATGCAGTCATTTGAAGCAGTTTTGAACAAACACCTCTCTAAATGCAGTCAGTCATTTGAAGCAGTTTTGAACAAACACCTCTCTAAATGCAGTCAGCCAACCAGTGAGACAGAACAAACAGAGTCCAGTTTCCATCAAGAAAATCAGTCACAGTCAAGAAGTGAGTAAAAAAAACACCCTAAATATGTTTAGAGCTACAAATGAACTTTCTTCTGTTGGTGCTTGTTTTTGTCGTGGCTAGGGTGTGATGCTGACTAAATTAATTCAGACAAACCATCCCAATTTAAAGGATCATTTAATATTACAATTATTCTGAATACAGTGATCCCTCACCTATCGCGGGGGTTAGGTTCCAGACACACCCGCGATAGGCGAAAATCCGCGAAGTAGGGCATGAAAATCTACGGTGTTTTTTTTTTCATAATTTTTCCTACTCTTTTTTTATTTTTATAAATTTAAGCTTTTGTAAACCCTCCCAACAATTATAAACCCTCCTAACATAATTATATACCATCCCAACATACTTATATACCCTCCCAACATACTTATACAAGTTACCACCCTCTTCGCTGTCGTATTAACTGTAACACTTGCCGTCTTCCGTATGTTCTTTTCGTCCTTCTTTATGTAGCGAACGCTGGATTCATTGATGCCGTAATGGCATAACTTCGTCCTTCTTTTAACATGTCCAAAAGTTCAACCTTTTCAGCAATGGTTAGCATCTTCCTACGA